CCGCCCGAAGCATCATGGGCAGTTTGACTGACGACCTCTAAACTCCACGTCTGCACGTCGCCCGCCCCGCGCGTAAACGCCATCACTCTTTCCCCTCTGCTGGATTCTGCGAGTGCGCGGCGCGTTGCCAATTAATGCGCTCAAATGCGTGTCAGCAAAAACAAATGGCTCGTTCATGCAGAGCAGCGAACAGATATCTGGCTCCTGTCATAATGAGTAATGCTAATTGTGCTTAGCGGGATCGTTGGTCAAAGTTGTCAGAAGGCATCAAGTCGATTTGAGGAATTCGTCAAGATGGTTCTCGTGGGCGGCTAATAGATTCATCACTGTAGAGGTGTTATTTGTCATACAGCTACTTGAGTTTCCCCCCCCCCCAAAAAAAACAGCCTTACTATGCCAAATTCTTCCAGCTGATAAACTTTCCTGCAAGTTTTTTGGCCTTCTTGGCAATGCAATCACGAATGTCTGCAGCAATTCCAATCCTCAAATTGCCCCATGCACCAAAAAAAAAAAAAAAAAAGCACTGTTTTATTGATGCTGTTCTCTTCTTCCGTGCTGCATCTGCAGAGTTCTTTGACAGTTCAGTTCCTGGATAATTTTTGCACTCTTGTGTAAAAAGCCTTTGAGATTCCACTTGCCTTGGGCCATATGTAAACGTAATTTACTTGGGAGAACAATTTGCCTGAACTGTTTCTCACATTAAGACAAATAATCCCTCATCAATTATTGAAAATGCTGCATTTTTATTTTTATTTTTTCATTATTCCTCGGGTTGCAATCCAACCAGATCTTCCCCTCTCAATGCAAAGCAGTCCTTCAAGCTACTTATTTTATTATTTGACCCTCTTAGAAAAGCCCTCATTGCAAACCAGGAAGTGGGTGTGACGGGCTCGCGGTGGTCTAATCAAATAACGGTATCGAGATGCAGTCGCTAATTAATCACCGGCTCTTGAGGGACGGACCCACCCGGCCGGTTCTCAGTGGAGAAAGAGACATTTGATCTGTTGAATCAGCTTCCTTGTCGTCTCCTCCCTTTCTCTTCCATCTATCTTCCATTAATTCAATAAAGTCAGAGTTCATTTAGATGCAACCCCGCACTTCTCTTTGTATTAGTGCTATCTGCTACACAAACCGAGCCTCCTTTTTGAAGAACTCAAATATTTCATAGTCACATCCATTTCATCCATTTCTGGGAACGTCTTTGGCCCTTTTCCATACTCTCCAGCTGCCTAATCGAGAGAGCATTATTATTTATTGGGAAATTATCCACTGTGTCTGAGCTTAAACACTTAAGCCAAAGCCTGAAAAATGATCTGACAGCATGTTTCTCTTGTTGAGAGCTGTCACAAGTGCCTCGACATGTGCTTATCCGAGGGACGCTGGTCCGCTCACTTGGACTCATTGTAATTACGTGCGGCGGTTGACCTTAACTCCTTCTCCCTGACATGTTTTTCTTGGGAGATGAAATGCAATACAAGCTCCCCGAAGACCCCTGTTTTGTTACTAATGATGACTTTTAAATGTCATTGTTACTGTGCTCCGTGTACACTTCAAGGCCCGCTGGTTCTGAGAAGGTAATTGCTCTTTACTTGGTATGACTGGCCCAAGAATGAGCTCTGCTTGTAGACAGCAAAAGTGAGCTTCTTTTTTTTTTTTTCTCACTTTAAACCCCCCCCCAAAAAAAAAAATGCAAACTCCAAAAGCATTTCCCCCCTCGGAGTCGGTTTTTAAAGGCTCTGCGGGGGAGCGACATTTTCCAAATGAACATTTCTCTCCCTGACCTTTCCGTTGCCCTTTTTGGTGAGTAATTACGTTTTTTGAAATATTCATTTGTGAGTTATGTCATTTGCGAGCATCCTGATGAATAACACTGCTCTGTAGTGTGGAAGTAATGAAAGCATCCGGCATGACCCCGAACTACTTCTTCCTTTTTTCTTTTTTTCCTCCTCCCCACAGTTTTATGCTCTGCGCTTGACGGAGGAATTATCAAGGGAGAATCTGCAGAGGGGAAAAAGAGACACACTGCATATATAAAAAAAAAAAAAAAGAAGCTCTAAAGTATTATCTGGAGAGGGGAAGACGGATTGAAAAGAACATGGAACTTAGATAGGACTTTCAGTAAGACAATTTAGATTTTCAATAGCTCCGTCGATGATGTGTTCAGGTACACAGCGATGCGTGCGAGCGGGGCAGGATGCTGGCTCTTGAAACCAGAGAAATATGAGCCCTATCAATCACCGCCTCCGGGCACAAATGTAATTACACCACAGTTGTTGACTGGTCGGGTAATCCGAGCCATGGCTGGCATGCGTTGGCTTGCTTACATTAGGGGATGGCTGGTGCCCATGTTGACGCCGTCATTGCTCGCCACTTCTGTGTTCTTTTTTCAGGATCCAGGCTTGACTTGAACTCTTGTTTTTAAAGGATTCAAGGCACGGCACATTATACAGATCAACGAAAAAATCAAGATTCATATTATTCAGAAGCATTTGAGAGGCTTTTTTGTGTCTTTCTCTGCACTCGCAGTGCTCTCAGAAGAAGACAAAACATTGCAACAAAAGCTTGAAGTGCTTAATCAAAGCAAGATCACCCTTCCTCCTTCAGTGTCAATTACGGGTCTGTCATTTATCTAAGTGCACCTGCCAAAGTCAACCCAACTTCTTTCATTTCTCCATGGTTGTCGCTTTCAAAGAAGTTTGGTGTTTTTTCTTTCAGAGTGATACTTCTCAGGGGGTGGAATAAATCTCACCATTAAGAGGAAGATAATTGATGGCTTTCATCACCAGAACAAATACAATTATTCCAATCTGTGATGATTCAGTGGAAAGCGAGCTTTACGGTGTTGGGTTTGATGGATTCATAAGACTAAGTGATTCAGTGCTGAAGGTCCCTTTCATGTTTGTTGCACCTCACCTTTCTGTTGTCTCATCAGTTTTTGGTAACCGTCAGGGCAAGATTAGAAGTGGAACCTGGCTGACATTTGAAAGAAAATGAAAATGTCAGAGATCGTTTACGCACACAGGAACGCAGTTTGATGAACACCTGTGCCCGGGTGACTCAAATCATGACTCTTTTTTTTTTCATCAGTGGAGTAGTGTGACATTTGACTCTACATGATTTATCCTGATCTAAAAAAGCGTTACAATGTTCCGTTTCAAAATGGATATTTCAAAAGTGGCCCACGTGGTCCTCGTCTGTGAACACCTTCTCATGCCTCATGCCTCAGTTTCCACTCATCGTGTTTCCACAGCAAGCGCCGCCTGCGCACTAGAAAACACATGTGAAACAACAGTAAATTAAAACTGACATGGAAAAACTTTTCTTCTGTCAAAGCCTCATGGAGTCACTGGTCATGGGCGAAACGGTTGCGTGCAGCTCCATGGAGAGTTGACCCGATATAACCTTTGTTCTTTTCTCAAACATTAGCTTACATATCCAACTTATAAACACTTATATTAGCTGAGATTTAAAGTTATATTGCTTGCCAGCAGGTCAAATATTCGCTCCTCTTTTAGCTCCGACTTCCTCTCCATCAACACTCAAAGGTTATGTGGTTCTAAATTGTCTCTAACACTTAACTTTTGGATAACTTGGATAATCTAAGAGAACCAGGATGAACTGGGAAACACCCAAAATGCCATGTGAGTCAAAAAAAAAATTCTCTTTTTAACTGCTCGAAAAAAATCTGAAGGAAAGCAGAGATGTTCGCTCTAAACCACAATACATGGTTTTCTTCATGTGACAAAGTTAGTTCACTCAAGGTCCACGTATTAGTACTTAACTGCTGAATGTTTCTCTGCCTATCAGTGTAAACATCTGATAAGAGTCCCAGAGAATCTTCTTCTTCTGCACATATTTATGTAAGAAATATTCTTCTGTTTCTTGTTTCCAAGCTTAAACGTGCCTTTGAATCACAATATTGATTTAAGGTGATAAAGTCCGTCTAGTCTCACACGTGAACACTCTGTCTCCAGCCCTCGTTTCTGCGCCTCTTTCTATCCGTCCTCCCTGATGAATGTCTGTGCTGCACATCGTCTCGCGGTGGCTCTCGCGGCTCACACGCTCTGCTCTGGATTTGATAAAAATCACACTCCCCCCTCTGCGGTCACTCAGGCCAATGTTTACGTTCCTCGCCCATTTTTCTATCCTCGCTTGTAAACACAGAAAGTGCACATTCCCCTGCTCGTGCGCAAAAAGTGTGATTCTCTGCGGAACGTGCATGCATGTGCCTGTGGCAAGGAGAGGGAAAACAGCAACCTCCGAACTGCTGCCACTAGCCCTCCCGGCCATTTTGGCTCTGCGGTAAACAACGGATTTCTTTGCCAAGCCAGGCTCTGGGCTTTTGGCTTGAGGCACTGTGAACACCTTTTGACCCTCTGCTTCCTGTCTGCGTGTAGCTAACTGAAGTGCATTGTGTCACCCAAAAAAAAGGACAAAGCATGAAGCAGCTATTATGATTTAAAAAAAAAAAGAAGCCTACTCTGGAGGGGAATACTTACAATCTACATAAGACACACTCTGCTCTGTTTCTTTGTCTCTAATTTCTCACTTGAATGCTCGTGTAATGAATGTTTCTTTTCTCACACGAGCATGCAAACACCGAGTCTATTTCCTTATGTTTGATCTGTGTCAATCTCGCACGCTCTCTTTCCACAACCCCCCCCCCCCCTTGCCTCTCGAGGGCCCCTGTGGTATTGCTCATCCTCCCACACCAAACAACAAGCGTCTTGTCCGCCCACACTCTTCAGACCAGGGTGGACAACCTCATCTCATATGTCTCAGTGTGTGACCTTTTAGATTGCGCGTCCTCCCATCTGTTCTTGTGTTTTCTTGTAGGAGTGCAAAAGTGTTGTTGTGTTTTTTTTTTTTTTTTTTTTTTTTTTTAAATCCTGGATGAAGTTGTTCGAATGCAAGTGCAGAAATCCATAAACCATAAAAGTGGGAGGTAAAAAAAGAAGCAATTAAAAACAACTCTTTGTTTGTTCTCCTTCCCTCTGCAGCCTTCAGTCGAGCACCCATCCCCATGGCGGTTGTGAGGAGGGAGCTGTCATGCGAGAGCTACCCCATCGAGCTGCGCTGCCCAGGCACCGACGTCATCATGATAGAGAGCGCCAACTACGGCCGCACCGATGACAAGATCTGCGACGCGGACCCGGCGCAGATGGAGAACACGCGGTGTTACCTGCCAGATGCGTACAAGATCATGTCACAAAGGTAAGGGCACAGTTTGGGTATCGTTTGACAGCTCTGAACACTTTTTGATAAACTGTAAAGTCAACGTAACACTTAGAAGATGGTCATCTCAAACTTGATAATAGTATGTCCTTCTTGCCCCACACTTACTTTCCACAAATATATTTTTTTAAATGGTTGAAGTTCTCGTATTTCTTTTTGACGGCCGTGAAATGCCTTAGTTTTAATTCAAACACTCATTCAGAAACTGAAATAAACCCAGTTCTATAGAAAAACTCAACCCATTGTTCACTCAGTTTAGAGCACTGTCGGTCCCCTGAAGAAGTGCAGTCACATCTGTTTGATATAAGAGAGTAGACTTTTGAAATTCACTGCCTCAGCAAGTGCTTCCAGAAATTTGAATAGTTGTTTCATAACTGCTGAGGTTCACGCGAACAATATATTATAGTTTTCATGAACAGGCAGAAAAGATATGAGCTGGATGCATTTAGTTTTATTGCTGTAAATATTGGGTCTTGTTGTCTTGGACCTGGAACTAACTTCATTTCTTTAAAGTGTATATTTTAGTGTGATAGAAGTGGTGGTAAAGCTTCCGGGAATGCTCATTCATTTGATGGAAAAATAGAATATGACGTGAGCACTGTAACAACTACACTCAAATACCTTTTTATATAGGCAAAGTGACAAAAAGGCCAACCAATGAGGGAATGTCATGCATTTGAATTGTGTTAATGCTGCCATTGGTAGTAGTATGTTCCTTATGGTTGCATTGTGTATGAAGATATTAAGAGCTTTTGAACACATTTATTTGTGAAACCACGAGTGTGCAAAAACGCAATTTACTATCCTTTTAGCTATGCACACTTAGCGTCAGTCTTTAGTCAGTATATAACTCCTAACATAAAAGTCAGCATAATTCATTATACAATATCCAGTGACTTTCGGTATCGGTAATTTTATCGCAAGATAGGAGCTGATATTACCAGATTTAATCACCAGTCACATAGCATTTCACTTGAGTATCGTTGGTAGTACACGAGCTGTTCTCACAGAGTGTGCTATATGGATTATAACAATCATCATCACCCTCATGAGTGTCAAGCGATTACGCACTTAACATGCACAGTTACTTTCCAGTTGAGAGACCGACTTGTCTTTGTTATGCTGTATATCTTTTCTTCAAGTCTTGGGACAACTGCATTTGAGGGATGAACGCAATGAATGTGTATATCTAAATCTATCTCTCTCTACAGGTCTAAGAAAGATATAAGCCCATATACTGTATCTCTATCGGATTTTGTCTCCCCCCAACATTGATATCGGTATCGGCGCCAAAAATGTCATATCGGTCGGCCCCTGATGTCTTTGACTTAAACACATATATCACGATATATTCTTCTTGACGTAGATCTGAAGCTCTCTTTTATTGAACTATTTTAAAGCTCTATGGGTGATTACAGCACGTGACAATAACAGAAAAGGGCTTCCTATTAGCGTCATTCAAATATGACTGAATAGGTTTTCTGACATGTATGAATATGTACACATACACAGCCATACTCGCAAGCCAAAGCTTTATTCTTCAATTCTCTCAAGTAGATGCGTTTGTTAAAAGAATCTTGGAAACTGAGTCTTCACCTAACGCGAGATACTTAAATTCACAGCTGAGGTCCGCTGCAGTGGATTGAGATGCTGTATTTGTAGAGATATGTTATACTCACTGACAGAGCTCAGTGATGGATGAGAATATGGAGATATATTGGTTTTGTGGGGGGAAAAAAAGGGACACAGTATGTCAACGATTTGTTTTGTGTGATCAATATTAAGATCTCTTGGGATTAGCAAATAAAATAAAACAAGCGTGTTGGTTCATGAAATGCTTCAGGTTTTCAAAAGTTCAACAGTTAATAATAAATCCCGATTTTAATAAGTGAGTGATTTAATTCCTGTTATAGATCCATTTGATCAACAATCCCATCGTGCTGCTAAAACACTGAATGAAAACCTCTCCATACCTGGTTGTTCATCTATATTAGCTATAAATATGCCTGAAAATCAATCTTCTCTCCAAAGGATATGAATACATTATCAGTTATTTGTCAGAATTGAAATGTCCTCCCTGGGTTTCGTGTCCTGCTTGTGGAATTATGACCCTGGTGTGCAGAAACCGGGACATGGAGACCTATTTGTCAGAGCAGACAGAGTGTAGTCTTACTGTCCCTTTGGCTTTCTCACATCAATAATGGATTACAGACATTAAGGTAATGTATACGTAAGTTTCAGGGTTTTATTCAGGAGGTCTGAATTGAAGAAAAAGTAGAGCTCGGGGTGTGTGGATGTATCGTCCATCTTGTTTCTTTTGTTGACTTATTGCAGCACTTAAAAAGGGTGAACTTGATCTGAATTGCCCCTCTGCGTTAGCGTTTGTCTGCATCTTTTTTTTTTTTTTTTTTCCAAATCCGAACTCTTTGGTTCCACACAGGACAGACGGCTTTGAGACTGCTAATGGACCTTTGGGCTTTATCAAACAATTGCTCTTGGCTTTTTAGTCTGGAGCCGTAAGAGTTCAGATAATCAGCTGTGTGAAAAGCAGCTGATGGCATTAAAAAAAAAGGGGTGGTTTGAAACATGTTGTCGGATAATTGATGCACCCTGTAGCTCCCTTGTTCTCCGGACGCCCACTCAGACTAAAAAATCCCTGCAGGAATGAATCAACGGCTGCTGCTACTGTCAAGAACACAAAACAAACACAAAGTGCCAGGGAAAGACGAGTCTTTTTAGCATCTCGTCGCTACTGGGGGCGTTTTAACGATGCAACAAAAAAAAGCAAAAAAAAAAGCTAACCAGAACCTGATTCAGCACCAGGGCATTTAGTCTTGGGAGAGGAAGTTGCAAAGTGGATGAAAAGGTGTGGGCGGTGCTGATTGAGAGCGTGTGGCGAGGCCCGGTGCCAAAGTAAGGGATGGGGTGAGAGCGTTCAAGGATATTTGTGGCTGTAGCGACAACGGCTCGCACATTAGCATGCAGAGGTTAGCGCAACAAACGAAACGCCACCCCCGACTTTTTTCATTGTCGAGCTGTCAGAGCCGTTGCTTGGCACCTGCAGCTAAGCTCATTAGGGTTGAAGAGAGAAACAGAAACAAGCAATTTGAGCAGAGAAAGCCTTTAACAGACATCTTATAAAGAAGGAGTCAAATCCAGGGCACGCAGATTTGACTTGGATGCATTTTGTGTGGGCACTGCAGTAATATGATGTTAAAAAAACAACTAACTTAAAGACACTGTCTGAAAATGATATTTCCCTAAAGGGTGGCTTCCTTTTTTTTTTTTTTTTTAAATGACTGATCAGATTTGTAGCCTGCAAGCTTCCACTGAAACAGTTGTAAAGTAATTCTCATATTTAACAACGATAATTATGTTTTTCCTCAGTGCAATGCCTACCCTATAATCTCCAAAAAGTCAATATTAGCAGTTAAACAAGCCCATTCTTTCATTAATATTTAATCCTTATTTTCCGTCTATTCTCATACTTTCCTGCCGGCTTCCCCCCCCCCCCCCCGTCTATTGATTATTCACTATGTTTCCATGCACACTCACTGGAAAACAACCCAAACAATGTAATAGTGTGATTAAAGCATTTACTTGCTTCGCAGTAACCTGATTTCCCCCAATAATTGTGCTTTCCATGAGCTGCTTGATTACAAGGCTGCAAGAATATGTTGCTGTCTACAGAAAAAAAAACAAAAAAACAAAGGGAGACAGAAAAGTTTGATGTTTTTTTTTTTTTTTAACGATGGAGAATTCACACACATGCAGTACTTTTGCTTGCTGAACTTACCTTTTGTGTGTAGATACTTTCCCACAAATCATTATTGTTTATCAAGACAGATACCAATACTTATTATCTGGGAGATTAACAGAATGATGGTTAAGATATTTCATAAAACATAGTTTGAAAGGATAGCTTCAATTTGTGTCCGAAGAAGAACTCTACAAAACTCATGGCTGAATAAATACACTTAGACAAACCTTACGGGTGGGACAGTTGGGGATGTGCATGATTAGACAACTAAACGATTAAACGTTGTCATCATCACCACCACCAGAATCGCTAGTCACTTAAACTAATTATTAATATATTTAGCCAAGGATGAGTCAAGGTCACCAGCCACTAACCGGGCTGTCGCTCTTCCCACTCTATTTACGCAAATGTAAACCCAAAGGATATCCTCTTGTAGGAGCAGCACAATTTGGCAGAATCTTGAGCTAGAAAATGGAGATACAGTGGTGTCAGGTTAAACCGGCATATAACCATTCGACTAGATCCAAACACGTCTACATTCAGCACAGACATGTGGACGTAAACCTGCCAGGAGGTGGTGCTAGCAATGCCAACTTAAGCTACAGTCCGGGAACCAACTTGACAGCGCTTACCCGCAGAATAATGCATGCCACAAAGTGCCTGACATTTCAGCGGCTTTGAAAATATCTGACATTTTCGTTGTGAGTGTGAATAATGTTTCAAATAGCAAATAAATACACTACACATCTCAAGGTTTTGGATGTTGTTAGTTGTTGGTTTTGACAGTTTTCTGAGGGCTTTCTTGCTTTTAGACAGGTTGACTAGTTTGCAAACTGCAAAACATCTTACAAGTATAGATTATGTTATAAGGCTGGTACTCAGGAACAGAATGTATCTACAACCTGACAGGAAAATATGTGTGGATACTCATAGCTCATAACTTGAAGCGGAAGATGAGTCCAGCAGTTTTTTTTAAATAACTCCTCATTTTTTTTTTTTAAGAAATCGCAGCTGTGTCCTATTTTCATCTATTCCCTAATTGTAAGCAGGTGTTGAGTGCTTTCTGTCTCCAAACTTGAAATGTGACTAGACTAAGAATACAAGAAAAAAAAAAGAAAACACTGTGCATGCTAAAAACATCCATTAATGATGTTTACAATGCACAAAAGGTAACGGCTCATGTTTTTTTTTTTTAAAACGAGCCCCTGAAAGACCGAAG